CTACGGCCAGCTAATTTTGCTAATTTTAGTAGAGATGGGATCTCACTCTTGCTCAAACAGGTCTCGAACTCCTGAACTCAAGCAATCTTCCTGCCTCATATTTGTTCCATGTTATGGGTCCATTCAAAAGTTCTATTTCTCCCTGATTGAGCCTAGGGAAGTTCCCAAGAATTTGTCCGTTTCCTCAGTTTTCAACTTTATGTACATAAACATTTTACAGTATTTAGAGATGATATTTTATTTTCATGGTGTCAGTTGTAATATCTCCTTTTTCATCTTCTGAGCGAGCTTGTTAGGGTTTCTGGCTAATCTAGCAAGAGACCTGTTGATTTTGATTTTGTTCATCTTTCATATTTCTTTTCTTATACTAGATTTAGGATTGGATTGCTCTTCCTTTTCTAATTCTTTGAGATGATTCATTAGATTGTTGACTTGTGAGGTTTCTATCTTTTGGATGTAGATATTTATGGCAGTAAATTTTCCTCTTATGGCTGCTGTTGCTGAATCCCTCAGGTTTTGATAATGTGTGTTTCCTTCGTCATTTAGTTCAAAGAAATCTTTTGATTACAATCTTAATTTCCTCCTTGCCCCACCTATCATTCAGCAGTAGGTACTTGGCTTGTATTCTCTTGTCCATTCATCCAGCCTATGTCTCTTCAGTGGGGAGTTCAAGTTGTTAACATTTCTTGAAAAATTTCATAAGTGGGGTAGATTCTGTTCATCTTGTCATGTAGAACTTTTTGCTTTGTTTTACCACTTGAACCATTGTGGTATCTCGGCCCTGACCTTCATCTTTTGGTAGGTTTTACACTGGTGGGTGTCCATTTTGCTGGCCCATTCATGAAGCAGTTCTGAGCACTTCCTGCAGGGCAGATCTGGTCTTGACAAACTCCCCCAGCGTTTGCCTGGAAAAGTCGTTATTTCTCAGATCTCATATAAGAAACTTAGTTTGGGGCTTTCCAAAGGCACCATGCATACCTGTCCGGAGCTTAGACTGGGGACAGCACAAGTCTAACACATGAACATGTATTAGAAAGGAATGTCTCCAAGGTCCCTTACAGCAAAGTTAGATATTTTTAAAATCCAGAATGACAGTATTTGCCTTATGATTGTGCAATCCATTCACATTTACTGTTACAGTTGATATGCTTAGACTCACATACATGATTTTACTTTTTGCTTTCCACAGATCTCATATCTGTTTTGTTCTTCTTCACTTTCTGGTTTCTTTTGTACTAAGGGAGCACCTTCTGGTGTAATGTTTGAATTCCTAATGATTTTTTTGGTACACATTTCTTTGATTATTTTCCTACTGGTATTCTAGCTCTAGGACCTACAATACACATCTTGTCAAAATCTCCTTTGGTTTATAGTAATTTTCTTCCAGTGAAACACAGAAATACCACTCCTACACAGCCAGTGCTTTCCTCCTTTTTTGTTAATGTTATATGTTGTATTTCTATGTTAAAAATTCTATCAGTACAATATTGGAATAGTTTTTTGCAAATTAATGTATTTTAAAATAGTGGAAGATAGAGCAAGTATATATAGCTCTTTATATATATATATTTTTTTGAGACAGAGCCTCAAGCTATCCCCCTGGGCAGAGTGCCGTGGCACCACAGCTCACAGCAACCTCCAACTCCTGGGCTCAAGCAAGTCTCCTGCCTCAGCCTCCCAAGTAGCTGGGACCACAGGCGCCCGCCACAACGCCTGGCTATTTTTTTTGGTTGCAGCTGTCATTGTTGTTTGGCGACCCGGGCTGGGTTCGAACCCACCACCTTAGGTGTATGTGGCTGGCACCTTAGCCACTTGAGCCACAGGTGCCGAGCCTATATTAACTTTTTATTCACAATCTCTCGTTCTCTTTATCTGTGGATTCACTGTTGCAACATAGCTTTACTCTCACCTTTGTGTTTGTCACAAATATGTATTTCTATATTATAGGTACTATGCTACCATTGGAACTGCTTTAAAATCACCTGAATAAAGAAAAATAGGTAATCATGATGTCTAAAAGTTCCTACATAATTACATTCATTAGCATTTCCCCCTGGAAGATTTAGATTACCATGTGATCTCCCTTTTCAGCTTGAAAAACGTCCTTGAGGCTTGACGCCTGTGGCTCAAGTAGCTAAGGCGCCAGCCACATGGAGGTTCAAATCCAGCCCGGCCCGCCAAACAAAAATGACGGATGCAACCAAAAAATATAGCCGGGTGTTGTGGCAGGCGCCTGCAGTCCCAGCTACTCAGGAGGCTGAGGCAGGAGACTCGCTTGAGCCCAGGAGTTGGAGGTTGCTGTGAGCTGTGAAGCCACAGTACTCTACCCAGCAGGGCAGCTTGAGTTTCCTGTCTCAAAAAAAAAAAAAAAAGAGAAAAGAAAAAGAAAAACTTCCTTGAATATTTTTTGGACACAGAGTCTTTCTATGTTACCCTCAGTAGAGGGCTGTGAAATCACAGCTCACAGCAACCTAAAACTCTTGGGCTTAAGCGATTCTCTTGCCTCAGCTGCCCAAGTAGCTGGAAATACAGGCGCCTGCCACAACGCCCAGCTATTTTTTGGTTGCAGTTGGTGTTTAGCTGGCCCAGGCAGGGTTCAAACCCATCAGCCTTGGTGTTATGTGGGGGGGACCCTACCCACTGAGCTACGGGCACTGAGCCTTGAATAATTTTTTTGTAAGATGGGTTTCCTGGCAACAAAATTATTCCACTCCACTCACCCCTTTAAAAAAATCTGAGAATGTCAGCATTTTGCCTTCATTTCTGACAATTTTGCTATTCAGATTCCTGAGGACAGGCTTTCCCACCTCCTGCAATCTTAAAGTCATACCTCTGCCATTGTTTATTGTTAGAAGTTAACTATTAATGGGATGTTCTTAGAAGCAATGAGTGACTTTTGTTTTTCCTCTTGCTGTTTTTAAATTTCTTTTTCATCACTTTTTACTTTGATTTATTACACATGTATTGCTTCTTACAATTTTTTCAGTCTTCTTGGATCAATGTTTCTCATCAGATTTGGTATTTTCAGGCATTATTTCATCTAATAATTCTGTGCTTTTCTCCTCTTATAACTCCTATTATGTACATGTTGGTATTCCATCATTCCCAACAATCCTTTAAGCATGAATGATGTTCATACTTTCTGAGAAAGTTTTTGATTTTTTCCCATTTTATGGATTGCATTTTCTCTAAGTTTGCTGATTCTTTCTTCCGTGAGCTCAAATCAATTCTTTTTTTGAGACAGCATCTCACTTTGTTACCCTAGGTACAGTGCTGTGCCGTCATAGCTCACAGCAACCTCAACTGGGACTATAGGTGCCTGCTGCAACATCCAGCTATTTTTACGTTATGATGTCTCGCTCTGGCTCGGGCTGGTCTTGAACCCATGAGCTCAGGCAATCCCCCTGCCTCTGCCTCCCAAGTGCTAGGATTATAGGCATGAGCCACCGCACTTAGCCTTTCTATTGTTGAGCTCCTCAAATCTTTCATTGTAGTCATACTTTTAAACTTCAGAATTTCCACGTGGTTCTTTAAAAGTAATTTTTCTCTTTATTGCTAGTACACATATTTGATGGAATACTGTTTGCATCTCTTCCTTTACCTCCAGCATGTTTCCTTTATTTTTACTGTGTTTTGAGACAGTTTCACTATGTCACCCTTAGTACAGTGCTATGGCGTCACAGCTCACAGCAACCTCAAAGTCTTGGATTATAGCAATTCTCTTGCTTCAGCCTCCCAAGTAGCTGGGACTACAGGAGCCAGCCACAATTCCTTGCTGTTTTTGTTACAGTTGTCGTTGTTTAGCAGGCCCAGGCTGGGTTCAAATCTGCCAGCCCCAGTGGCCAGTGCCCTAATCACTAAGCTACAGGTGCCAAGCCTGGTTTCCTTCATTTTTTTTGAACCTACTGCATGGCTTGTAATTTGTTGTTGAGGACTGGGTATTTCTGATAATGAAACAGCAGCTCTGGGTACTTACGTTCCCCCTCACCTGTGTCGCCAGGCACTTGGTTGAACTATTTCTATTTCAGTTAAGTCCATTTACCCTAAAGTGTGCAGCCTCGGATGTTCCTCCTCAGCATTCAGTAGGCATGTGCAGTCACCCTGACTTCTAATCCTGAAGCCTGTGGTCTGACAGGGTTCTCCTTTACCATTCCTTGTTCTGATTTCCTCAGCCCTAGTTGGTCTGTCTGCATTGTTACTACATCTTGCTATCAGCACCCACAAATCTGCTAGCTAACCTCTTTGACGATACGTGCTGCACAATTTAATCCAATTTAGGCTCCTACACAGTATCTTACTTAGTATACTGTTTTTTGAGGCTTGTTAACTATAGGGCTCTTATTAGCTGCCTTTGTCATTCTCTGAACTTTTTGTCAGTCCTCCCTTTAACACAGCTCTCTATATTGTATTTGGCAGCATCTTCCCACTTGAACTTCTCCCTCATTCTGTTCTAAACAAAGTCCCTTTCCAGAGTAGTATGGAGCTGTTTTTATGGCGTGCCATTCCCAAAGGACAGAACATCAGTGCTATTGCTCCAGAGCTAGGAATGGAAATAGTAGCCTGTTTCTCTATAGTGAGGGAGTGGGTGATAGCCTCTGGTCTTCTCTACTTTCCCTCCTTGCCATGGAACACTTACCTTATGAATTAGTTGTGGCAAAAGAAATTAAGGCCCAGTATTCCAGTCTGCCATTCTTGGGTTAGTTTCTGTGCTACAAGTGGGTACTGAATATAGAAAGGAGTTCTAGACCTCTTGGCTACTCCTGGTTGGAAAAGAGCTTTTGCAACCCACAGGAATGAGAAATGCTGGAAATCTACTCTTACAGGGCACAAATTATAGCCCCAAATCGAAAACCAGAGAGAGGGAGTGGGGTCATGGCCCAAACACCACAGAGACTATCTTACCACGATTTAGATTTTCTTAAATAAATGTTTTTGTTTGGTACATGCTCTTATGGCAATTTTCAGAGACTTAATACTATAAAAAAAATTTAAAATTGGTTAGTTGTTTTACTGCAGAGTGTCAGAGATGTTCTTTATGCTATCATTCCAAAAGTGCTTCCTGATTACTTTTAAATGAATCTGTTAAAATACAAGCAATCAGGACCCTTTAAATAAGGTAGTATGTTCACAACCTGCTGCCATCAGCTGATTCACCATCACCATGTAGCATCCAAAATAAATAAGCAATTCTTTAATACTTAAATATATTTCAGAAGTGAAGAGGGTTTATATTAATAATTCATTTACAAGTGCAGTGTGTAAAGTAAATAATGTTGACTAAGAATTAGTCTTGAAATATTTTTGAATTTCTAATTCAGCAGATTAAAAACACAATTGTGAATGGTATAACCATGTTAAGAATCATATTGTGATAAAACCAACCTCAAAAATAGAGAATCTGGACTCCTCCCAGGTAATATAAGAACTCTGAAGTTTTCCTCAACTTAAACATGATGCCACACAGAAAACAGTAAAGATGACCTTCAATGTGATGCAACTGTATAAAACTTTAGGATGTAAGTATTACATGTCCAATGTACAAAATCAACAAAATTTAGAAAAAACACATTTAGATCTGAAGCACAAATAAAAAGACAATTTACAAAGTGTTGTAACTGAGCTCTAATCATCATCAGAGTCTGAATCATATTTCTTTCCTCGGATAGTTTTCTTTTCCAGCTTTGTGAAATTTGTTCCAAATTTCTTTTGGCTCTGAAATGGTGGCTCCATTAAATTTCCACTAAAAATAAAAAAGAAATGGAAAGGTTTTCCATTACTTATGATTTAGTACAGCTGGTATACTAAAGTACACAAAATTATATTTTTTTCTTCCTCCCCCTAACATATGGAATAGAGTAAAATTTGTTTAAAGTGCTGTTAAGGAAAAGGTAGAATGTGCATATTAATGGTTAACAGCTTTAAACATAATTTTGTACACTAAATGTTTTCAATCAATGTTTCCCCCCCTTATCATTAATTACTGATTAACATTTTATAGAATGTCTAGCAATAGAATCTCTGAGTAAAAAGCAAAGAAGGAAGTCAGAGCATTTTAGTTTCTTGGTTCTAGAAATGCTGAAGCTGTATTAGATACTCTTTTTATTCTGAGAATGACCCAGACAATGTCATGACTGGTTTGATCTTTCAAACATTTAACATTTCTTAATGTTTAGATCTCTCCAGAAATTAACAAAATTCATGGAATTCATTATCATTAACCTGGAATTGCTATGAAATTCTTTTCAGTGATGCTCAAGAAATAAACAAAGCAAAACAGTTTCATTTTTCAAAAATATATGGGGAATATTCCTAGCACCCAGATACTGGTTTTGAAGGATCACTTGCCAATGAAAGAAGTATGGCTCCTTGGAGAAAACAGTTGATTCCAAGCAGAGGACAATCTAAGAGCCCCTAAAACATCTTGTCTGTATCGAAAAGGGGTCAAAGAATTACAGAGACATGTCAATAAAAAAAGCCATCAGGAATGGGGCTCTCAAAGGGCAACATGAGCTTCAACGTTAAATAAAAAAGTAAATAAATGTGAGAACTGGAAAAGTTCGTCATTAAATAACCATTTAGCTTAACATAGAAATGGTTAACCTAGTGCTCAGTTAGCAGAAATGAGACAAACCATCATATGCCTCTTGATATGATGCACCAAGGAGGAAGGATATAACATTTCTTCCACAATGTGCCTATCAAAAATGCATCATCTAAGTCAAATCTAAGGAATTATTAGACAAAGCCTAATTTGCCTGGGGGATGTTCTATAAAATAACTAGTTTGTATTCTTCAAAAAGCCAAAGCAAATTAAAAAAAAGCCCAAGTCTTGAGAAACAAAGACAGTGCAGGTTAATGGAAATTAAAGACACATAACTAAATGTGACACCTTTTTTTGGTATGGAGGATGTAATTGGAACAATGGTAAAATGTGAATAAAGGCTAGAAATTAAATGATAATTCTAGTTTTAATAATGGTACTGTGACTATGTGAACAAAAGACCTATTTTTAGGAAATACATATGGAAGTATTCAGGAGTAAAGGGACATCACATCTACAACTTCTGCTCAAATGGTTCTGAAAAAATATCTGTAGTATCCAGAAAGAGAAGGAAAGTGGGTAATACGGGCAAATGGTACATGAGAATTCTTCACATTAGTCTGCAAACTATTTAAAGTTTGAAATCATTTCAAGATACATTTTTGCATATCAAAAACAGGCAAAAAAAGATGCTATGCTCTGATTTATAGAATTAATTATTTGTGTAGAGAAATAGATGGATGAGAAACGGAAGTTGGACTGTTTTCAAACTGACGCTGTTCTCCAGGGAGTAACATGAGCTAAGCTTATGTATTTATCAGATTCTACAAGTGAGACAGAAATTATCTACATTAAAAACCTAATGCTTTAAAATATAACTCTCTTTGCAGTTTAGTGTCTTTCATTTTTAGATCATTAAAGGGAATCACTTAAGTCAGTTTCACTCTGAGTAATATGGCTTAAATAGCAGAAGAGTCAATTCCGGAATGCCATTTTACGTTTTCAGATTAATACAGAATTACCTTCAATGCATCCGTTAAGTCAAAAACTTTTATAGTCAGGGTGACTTCAAGACTTATAAATCTGATTTTGCTGTAAAATCATGTTAATAATGTACACTTTAAGAAATATGCTTTCCTTTGAAAAACGTTCTATATTTTAGGCAAAAGGTCTGAAATTTCATAAAATATAAATGTTAAGATGCAAAACTCTTCCTTAGAAATATCATCTTTGAATTAAAATAAATATATTATTTTGCTAAAAGTTACCTGTAATTAAGAATATCAGCACAACCGAGCCTCCATTCTAAAGTTTCTGTGGTAAAGTCATCTGTATTTCCTAGATCAGTAAATCCAACAACATAATCTTGTGTTTTCCCATCTTTTACCAGTGCTAGTGTGGGAATGACTTTGATACGCAGTCTCTCACAAAGGAAAGGTGCTTTTTCCACATTCAGTTTCAAAAACTTGGTCTCGAGGTGTTTCTTGGACAGTATCACCAAATGTCTGTCTAGTATTTTACACCTGTAAGTAATAGCACATAGAAAATCAAAAGCTAAAACCACAGATCTCTTTTTTAAAAAATAAATATCATTGGTTGGTGCCTGTGGCTCAAAAGGGTAGGGCGCCGGTCCCATATGCCAGAGGTGGCGGGTTCAAATCCAGCCCCGGCCAAACAACAACAAAAAAAATTTACAGTTTTCCTGTATGAGTCTCATAATTTGGCAGCCAACCTACGCTTGTATCAGATGACTGCATTACTAGGTCAGAGGTTAGCTGCCTGACTGTGAGAGGCAGGAAAACAATCTAGCATTCTACATAGTAAGATTTGTCCTAATTATCTTAAAAAACAAAATATTAAATATTGCTTTGAGTCATAAAGGCAAGTCAAGTTGTCATGCTCATCGTAAGAACAAAAAATTAAGATTGCTATTTTCCTTCTGCCGTGTTTTCTGGCATCTTACACAGGAAGCCTAAAGAGGGGCAGATCTGAGCTTGACAGAACTCAGAGGAGACTTCTAAGGATTAAAATGCCATATTTAAAGTCATGAAAACAGGCATCAAAAAAAACTTTACTCCTAACTGTGCAACTCTGACAGTGAGAAGCACAGCAAGCACTGCCTGGGCTACAGTACCATGGCCTTAGCCTAGCTCACAGCAACCTCAAACTCCTAGATTCAAGCAATTCTCCTGTCTTAATCTCCTGAGCAACTGAGACTATAGGTGTGCCCCACCATGTCTGGCTCATTATTATGATTATTATTATTATTTCTTTAAAGTAGAGACGGGGTCTCGCTTTGCTCGAGCTGGTCTTGAACTCCTGATCCCAAGTGATCCTCCCATCTCTGCCTCCCAGAGTGCTAGGATTACAGGCATGAGCCACAGCGCCTGGCTGCCACTGTACTCTAGCAGGCATGACAGAGTAAAGTTCTTGTCTCAAAAAAAAAAAAGTATCCTTATAAGAAGAGGAAGGGAGGCCAGGCACGGTGAAGGCAGGCGGATTGCTTGAGCTCATAAGTTTGAGACTAGCCTGAGCAAGAGCAAGACCCTGTTTCTACTAACAATAGAAAAATTACCAGGCATAGTGGTGCACACCTGTATGTCGTCCCAGTCTACTGGGGAGGCTGAGGCAATAGGATTCCTCAAGCCCAAGAGTCTGAGGTTGCTGTGAGCTATAATACCATGGCACTCTATCTAGGGTGTCAGAGTAAGAATGTCTTAAAAAAAAAAAACGTTATTATGAATGTTCCAGAGATAAAGCACATGAAAGTATCTGGCTTACTAAGTGCTAGTAGGAACTTTGCTAGATATTTAAAAGTTAACAGAATGCTTAAATTTTGACTTTTCAGTTCTGTATAAAAGCAAGTATTCCTGGTACTTCATGGCTTATACATGCATCAATATATTTACTGACCACCTACTATGTGTTGTTGCTTTAGGGCTACAACCTAGAGCATATAGTGTGGACACACTACAGGCAAATGCTCTGCCTTTACAAAACTTAACACTCTAGCTGGGGAGGACATATAGTAACTGAACAAATAGCATCAATCTTACATACTGAGAAGATAGCAATATATCACCTCATCATCTATGTTAGAGGTTGGCAAACTGGACAATGATAGTGTTGTACCATGAGGGTAGGAGGTTTCTTTGACACCCTTCAACTTTCCTAATCCCTTCACCCATTTTTCCTTACAGGGAATAATCATCTCATTATTCTGATTTTTATTCTTAGTCAATGAATTCAGAGCAATCAATCACGGAAAGGTCTTAACTAATAATGAAGCTGTTGGGTTGTGAGGCTAAGGCAAGTGCCAGGCAAACTACAGAAATGAGAGAAGAGCGTAGGGCTGAGACAACAGTGAGCCAGTGACTCTACACTACAGTGTCTTTCTAAGGGAGGCACCCGCTACTCAACAGCAGAAAACTGTCGGAACTCCAGGTTTGTTATCAGCAAGTTTTCTGATTTTTAAAGAAAAATTCTGAAATGGGTTACCTCTCAACTTTCAAATGGTGGCAACTAATCAAATTTTTGGCTTTTCTCTGCAAAAAGAAAGGCCTGAATCCACTGGTTCAAGATATACCCTCTATTTTCATATTACAGGGGAACGGCTTTCTTAGACTTGCAGACCTGGGTTAGTCTAAGTGAAATTATTTCTCTTTCCAGACATGTCTGGCAGTCCCAACTATACTTCTAGTGAAAGCGTTGGCCAAACTATTGTCTCCCCATCAGAGTTATTAGCTAAGAAACAAGTGACTGAATGAACACTAACTTTGAAAAGGCTGGCCTTATGATGCCTGTATCATAACAGTAAGGAGGAAAAAAGCAGAAATAATTACCATGGCACTGGTAAGAGTTTTAAGTGTACATTTCTAAGATTTTTTAGAGTTAGCTAGTGGAAATACAATATAATTCAGAAAACACAAGCCATTTATATGGATATAGTATCTTCAATAACATTCACTTATACCTTTGCACATCAGTGGTTTTTAAGATAATCTTTAAAATAACTGCTTAACGTACTGAAAAGAACGTTAAAGAATAAAGTACAGCACAATGAAACAACTTAGAAGTTTGTTCCTTTTAAGTTTTCTAATTTCTCTATTAAGGCAGTATACTTACCTAAACATTATACAGACATTTATAGATATATACATAGGCATACATACAAATATATTTATTTTCTTTTTTTTGAGACAGAGTCTTACTTTATTTTCCTCAGGAGAGCATTGTGGCATCATAGCTCACAGCAACCTTAAACTCTTGGGGTTAAGCTATCCTCTTGCTTCAGCCTCCCAGGTAGCTGGGACGATAGGCCCCCACCACAATGCCCAGCTATGTTTTTAGAGACAAGGTCTTGCTGTTGTTCAGGCTGGTCTCAAAGTCTGTGAACTCAAGCAGTCCACCCATTTTGAACTCCCAGAGTGCTAGGATTACAAATGTGAGCCACTGCATATATATATTTTTAAAATGTATGGTGGAAACAAAGTTACCTGAATGTGGAGTCTCTGTAGAAATGGCAAACAACTTTTTTACTCTCCTTGACTTCTTGAAAAAAGTCTCTTTCACTAGGGATTTCTCTATATTCCCCATGTCCTTTGGAAAGCCATTCCTAATTTGGAGAGAAGTGAAATATTATTATATTTGTGAAATGTCTCTTTCAGTATCATGTGACATTTTAAGTGTCCAAATGACCGTAATATTTTGAATGTTTTATAATGAAGTCGATTTCTCTTATAGAGAAATGAATTCCTTTTAGTGGTTTACTACCCTATGTTTCCAGTGTCAATGTAAAACTAGGCTATCAGCAGTGACCATCTCCACTGCACAGCTGGAATTTAAAATAATCACCTGCGTCAGTAACTTATAATATTTATTTTCTCAGAATTTCCAAAATAAAAATTTAGACTTTAGAGACTTATCCACTTAACTCTCAACTCTAATTATACATTCTTAAAACCATGTTTGATCCAAATTATGACAAAACTTTAAACAAAAATGCTCATGAAATAAAGCCAGTTAGTCTTGGGGAGACAGGGAAGCTACTGTATGTTTAAAGCTCAAGAGTCTTGTGTGCTTTTAATGACTATCTTAGAGAAGCAGGTACCTCTTGGATACTGGTCACCAATGGGCAGTGTCCTTGGAAGAAAAAGGAGTCTACTCACATGATGTCCGGGACCGATAAAGATCTAACATCAAAACCCACTTCCAGAATCAATCCTTATCAACCAAGTCTGACAGACCTTTCAGCTTCTTAAACCTTTCTAGTAGCAGGAAGTTTATCACTTCAACTGGAAGCTCATTTCCTCTGTCAGGCTGCTGCTGGCTTTAAAGAAAAAGAGCTTTGGGCTTGCAGGCAGAAGTCACAGATCTGAATACCTGTTCAACCACTTATTGGGCTATGAATTCTAATAACATTTCTGAGCCTCGATGTCCTCATTTCTAACTAGAGATGTAAAGCAACTACCTCACTGGGTTGTTGTGAATATGAAAATATTAAATAAGACAATCTACAAGAAAATACCAAAAATAGTATCTGGCACATGTGCTTAAAAAAAAAGGCATTTGTTAGCCAGGTGTTGTGGCAGGCACCTGTGGTCCCAGCTACTTAGAAGGTTGAGGCAAGAGAATCCCAGCTACTCGGGAGGCTGAGGCAAGGAGTTGGAGGTTGCTGTGAGCTGTGATGCCACAGCACTCTACGGAGGGCGACAAAGTAAGATTCTGTCTCTAAAAACAAAAAACAACCCCCCGCCCCCAGCATTTGTACCTGGGAGGCCGAGGCAAGTAGATCACCCAAGCTCAGGTGGTGGATGCCTATAGTCCCAGCTACTCTGGAAGCTGATGCAAGAGGATCCCTGGAGTGCAAAGAGTTTGAACTTGCTGTGAACTATGATGCCTTGACGCTTTACCGAGAGCAACATACTGAGACTCTGTCTCAAAAAAAAAAAAGATCTGTACCCACACTATCTCATTTTTAGAAAGGTCTTCTCACACTGAATATATCCTAGCTTGAGAGCAAACAGCAAATCACTCCTTTAAATATCCTAAGTCTTCCCTTCTCTATACTGTAAACATTTCTAGTTCCTTCTGTTTCTCATATACAATGATTTCTACTCTTTTTATTTTTCTTGGATGTTCTCTGATTTACCCATGTCTTTTTAAAAATGTGGCAGAAGTCTAAATCCAGCCCTCCAGAAGTGGTCTAACCAAAAAGGGCCAGAAGAGTCATCTCCATTCCTCCTCTGGACTTCAGTTAACATGGCCCAGACTATGTTAATAGTTTTGGTACCCATTTCATGTCAGTTCGTATCAAGCTGCCACATAGAAGGCCTTGTTATATTCTCCTTATGTGAAGTTTCTATGTCTGGCTTAAACTCTCAAATATACTTCCTTAATGATATGTGACAGTTCATAATTGCTTTCTTGCCTCACTAATAGTATGAGCCCCTGAGAGTGTTTTTTAAAAAGCTGCTATTTCATAATTTATTTTCATGTGTTTAACCGAGAGGCTGAAGACCTGACAGAACCTAAGTTTCTTTGAGGGAGGGTGTGCCTACTCTGCACCTCCACCAATGCTCAGTGCCCCTCCTCAGACACTTGCCATTCTCCTGTGCTCTCAGCACAGCTATTTGCTCTGCTCCTTACCTAACTGCTAGAGCTCCAGTTGCTGTCACCATAAAAGGGTACTTACCTGACCAAGGAATATAGATTAGCATAAACCTATTAAGTGTTGAGTGTAAGTTGCTGCATATGGTGTTTTCCCAATGCCCCCGTGGATCAGATAATCAAAATTACTGTATAATCTATAATACTCTTTCAAAGAATATTTTTAGAAACTATAAGGGTTTCTTGCCTGCTTCAACAGGAAACACTTTAATAGGGCGGCGCCTGTGGCTCAGTGAGTAGGGCGCCGGCCCCATATACCGAGGGTAGCGGGTTCAAACCCAACCCTGGCCAAACTGCAACAAAAAAATAGCTGGGCCATTGTTGTGGTGGGCACCTGTAGTCCCAGCTACTTGGGAGGCTGAGACAAGAGAATCACCTAAGCTCAGGAGCTGGAGGTTGCTGTAAGCTGTGATGCCACGGCACTCTACCAAGGGCAATAAAGTGAGGCTCTGTCTCTTAAAAAAAAAAAAAACCACTTTAATAGACTGGGCACGGTAGCTCATGACTGTGATCCTAGCAGTGTAGGATGCTGAGGTGGGTGGACTGCTTGAGCTCAGGAGTCTGAGATCAGCCTGAACAAGTGTGAGACCCCACCTCTACTAAAAATAGGAAAAAAGTAGTTTGGGGTTGTGGTAGGTGCCTATAGGTGCTGTGGCATCACAGCTCACAGCAACCTCCAACTTCTGGGCTTAGGTGATTCTCTTGCCTCAGCTTCCTGAGTGGCTGGGACCAGATGCCCACCACAACACCTGGCAATTTTTTTGTTGCAGTTTGGCCAGGGCTGGGTTCAAACCTGCCACCCGGTATATGGGGTCAGTGCTCTACCCACTGAGCCACAGGTGCCGCCCTATTTTATTTATTTTTAGAGACAGAGTCTCACTTTGTTGCCCTTGGTAGAGTGCTGTGGTGTCACAGTTCACAGCAACCTCCAGCTCTTTGGCTTAGATGATTCTCTTGCCTCAGCCTCCTGAGTAGCTGGAACTACAGGTGCCTGCCACAACACCGGGCAATTTTTTTGTTGCAGTTTGGCTGGGGCAGGGGCTGGGTCTGAACCTGCCACCCTTGGTATGAGACCAGCGCCCTACTCACTGAGCCACAAGTGTTGCCCCAGGGTCTCATTTTGTTCCCCAGCTAGAGTGCAGTGGTACAATCATAGCTTACTGCAGACTTGAATTCCTGGTCTCAAATGATCCTCCTGCCTTAGCCTTCCAAGTAGCTTGGGACTACACGTGTGTGAATCCATGCCCAGCTAATTTTTTTTTTTGAACAGTTTTGTAGGTAAGAGGTGTCACTATGTTGCTCAGGCCGGTTTCAAACTCCTGCCTCAATTGATCCTCCTGAGCTCTCCTCCCATAGTGCTGGGGTGATAGCCACTGTGTCTGGCCTGATAAAAATAATTTTTAATTGCACATTAGCAATTAGTAGTGTAATAGCAATTAATAGAACCTAAACATATATTACCTTAAATCCCTTAATCTATCCTCTGCTTACTATTAAAGTACTCAGAAAAGCAGACTATTTTCTAAGATAGGGTATATTTCAAAGCCATATAATATACCCCATTTTAGAAAACTACAATACAAAAACTGGAATCCACACATACTATAAGAGTCTTTCCTTTTGTATCAGAGAGATACTTCAGAAGCATAAACAAAACTCCGTTTCTTCACAAAAGTTAAAGCTCATGTTTTAGTCACAGTCAACTGATAATGTATTTCCATGCAATGTAATCCAATGGAAACATTTTTAAATCAAATTTCAATTTACAGAATTTAACGTATTGGTTCTGATCGGATTCTACAACTATGAGTTTCCTCCATACTCACACTCTAAGAAGCTAACAAAGATAGGGCTATGGCTACCTTTCTTTGTGATTCATTATGTATTCTTTTGAATAAATATGCCATATCATTAAATATTACATTGGAAATGCCTGAAATAATTTTTCTTTTTCTTTGAGACAGAGTCTGACTTTGTTGCCCTCAGTAGAGTGCCGTGGCATCATAGCTCATAGCAACATCAAATTCCTGGGCTCAAGTGATTCTCTTGCCTCAGCCTCCTGAGTAGCTGGGACTATAAGCGCCTGCTACAACACCTGGCTATTTTTGTTGTTGTTGTTGCAGCTGTCTTGTTGTTTCGCTGGCCCAGGCCAGGTTCAAACCTGTCAGCCTGGGTGCATGTGGACGGCACTGTAACCACTGTGCTATACATGCCAAGCCATTGAATGTGTCTTTAAAATACATTTTTTTCTAGGCAAATTTGTAACAGTGAAACTTTGAATTAAAAAAGAAAATCCTAAAAACAAGGAAGAAAATGTAACTATTACAGCACATGTATATATAAGTTGTTAGGAGCATACTGTTATAGCAATTTCAGAAAGCAGGGCAGAGAGGTTACTTGTTTCTGCTGTTGAGCCTTCCTTAGTGCCTCAAGTCTCTTTTCTTTGAGGCGTTCAAGTTCATCCTCATCCATCTGATCCAGTTTCTGAATTTCAGAATCCAAATGTTCTTCTACTTGTTTGGCAGTCTGAAGCAACTGATTCTCCAAGACTTTTGAAAACATGTCAACAGATGCATCTGCTTCCATTCTTAAACAGTAGAGTTTAGTCTTGGTGCTAGGGAGGAGGTTTCCAAAATTAAAACAAAACAAAAAATGCAAATAATAAGCAAAGTTTTCTCTTCCATTTTCTAAAATTCTAACAAGTATGTAATGTGTATTCCACAGAGCATTCTGCTGACATCAATCCAAGCACTTGATCTTGGGTTTAGAAATATTAATTTAAATGTCTTTAAAATTATTTTTCAGTTTTTTGGCTGGAGTTGGGTTTGAACCTGCTACCTCTGGCATATGGGGCTGGTACCCTACTCTTTTGAGCCACAGGCACCACCCCTAAATTTATTTTTCAATAGAGTCTAGTCAAACCACTCAAAAATTACTTACAGCAAGCATTTGGGGTGCTTTTGATCCAGTTTGTGTTTAACTATATTAAAGCCAAGACAAAGTCTTTAAGACTTCCACCAGAAGTGAGTTATGCCGAATGATACATATATTGACAATCAGTGTTCTTTGCCAAAGGAAAATGGAAACAAAGCAGAAAAAGCTGTGAACAATAGTAAGGTATGATTAATGAGGTTTTACCTATGCATATATGTATTAAACTTTAACAGAGTAGCGTTGAGCAAAACACAGTTTTTTTTAATAGTCATTGCCCAAATGAGTTTTGTGTAATTCCCAAGGTAACTCATTATAATTTATGTAAAGAATATGCCTGGTGGGCGGCACCTGTGGCTCAAAGGAGTAGGCCCCATATACTGGAGGTAGCGGTTCAAACCAGGGCCTAGCCAAAAACTGCAAAAAAAAAAAAAAGAATATGCCTGGTGTTCCACAGCTTTAGGTTCATTCTTGTTCTCCTAATACCTAACAAAAAAATCTACAAGACAAGACCAGGGGTGGTAGCTCATGTCTTAATCCTGGCATTCGGGGAGACTGAGGCCAGTGGATTGCCTGAGCTCAGGAGTTCGAGGGCAGCCTGAGCAAGGTGAGACCTGGTTTCCACTAAAAATAGAAAAACTAGCCAGTGTGGTGGCAGGCACCTGTAGTCTCAGCTATTCAGGAGGCTGAGACAAGAGGATGGCTTGAGCTCAAGAGTTTGAGGGTGCCATAAGCTATTATGTTATGGCATTCAACCGCAAAACCACTGAGTAAGACTCTGTCTTAAAAAAAAACAAAAAAACCCACACACACAAAAAAACTATGAGGTAGCAAATTTGATAGATAATGCTTTCAATTTTTTCTTTGAGACAGAGTCTGACTTTGTTGCCCTGGGTAGAGTGCCGTGGCATTACAGCTCACAGCAACCTCCAACTCCTGGGCTCAAGCAAGTCTCTTGCCTCCGCCTCCCAAGTAGCTGGGACCACAGGCGCCTGCCACAACGCCCGGCTATTTTTTGGTTGTAGCCGTCATTGTTGTTTGGCGGGTCCAGGCTGGGGATTCGAACCCGCCACCTTAGGTGTACATGGCTGGCGCCTTAGCCAGTTGAGCTATAGGAGCTGAGCCAACACTTAGGATTTTTAACTTTGATGTAAAACAGTCTAACACTCCAAATATACTTTTAAATGTTGATTTTTTTAAATCATCATTACTCTTCTGTAATGAGTTTTAAAACAGAACTTAGATTTAGATCACAAAGGAAGATCTCAATTATAGTCATCGCTTAATGACTATAATTCTGAAAAATTTGTCACTGGGTGATTTCATTATTCTGGGAACACCATAGAGTGCACTTACACAAAACTAGAGGGTACAGCCTCCTACACACCTAAACTGTATGATACAGCCTATTGCTCCTAGACTACTAACTTGTACAGCATGTCTGTCCTGAATACTGTAGCAACTATAATATAATCTTAAGTATTTGCATAACTAAGCATATACTTAGTTACATATTTTTATGTATGTCATTATGGCTTGGTGCCTGTAGCTCAACAGCTCGGGCCACAGACACCAGAGCTGGCGGGTTTGAATCCAGCCCAGGCCTGCCAAACAGTGACAACTACAACAAAGAAATAGCCAGGCATTGTGGTGGGTGCCTGTAGTCCCAACTACTTGGGAGACTGAGGCAGGAGAATTGCTTGAGCCCTTGAGTTTGAGGTTGCTGTGAGCTGTGACGCCACGTACTCTACACAGGACGACATAGTGAGACTCTGTCTTAAAAAAAAATACGGCATTATAATTTCATGAGACTAAAATGTCCTTAGGTAGCACATGCTTGTATACAAACATATATACCACACATATATGTGTATGTGTGTGTGTGTATATATATATATAAAATTTTTTGGGGGGGGGGTGAGACAGAGTCCTCTTACTCAGTAGACCTGGGGCTGAGTGCCATGGTGGCATAGCTCATAGTAACCTCAAACTCTTGGACTCAAGTGATCCTTCTGCCTCAGCCTCTGAAGTACGTGGGATGCAGGCACCTGAGACAACACCCAGCTGGTTTTGGTATTTATAGAAACAGGGTCTCACCTTGCTCAGGTTGGTCTTAAAATCCTAAGCTCAGGCAATCCACCAGCTTTGGTCTTCCAGAATGGTAGGATTACAGGAATGAGCCACAGTGCCGGGCTATGACTGTATATATTTTAAAAGAAATGAAGTATTTCCTACTAGCAATAGAGAGCAATTTTATGTGTATTCTTGGGTTATTACCACAGAAATATAATTTATAATTTGCCTATCAAGGCAGGTGGCTGTTTTGCAAACACTATTAAAGCAGCTTAAAAATATAAATAAACCGTAAACTTCTTTTTTCAATTTTCATCCTTTTTTAATTTCAAATTAATATGAGGGTACAAATTTTTAGATTACATTGTTCTCACTTCCAGGGTAAACTTCCAGTTGTAAAAAGCCTCTCACTCAGGGGGCGTGTTATACACCCTCACAGTGTAAGTGCTGGTATTAGATGTTCGGCTTGTAAGCAGAGAGGAGGCATCAGAAACTCTAAACTCTTTCACTGAAGTTCTGACACAGATTCTGGCCCATACAGACCTTCCATAAATGTCGAACTAATGAGAGATATTCTTCTTGTAAACTTCACATGGATTCCTTTTCCCTTACAAGAAAAGCAACTGAAAAAGCCTACCTGATTTCACCTTTGTATTCCCAGAGGTAGAGCTGGTACTTAATAAATATTTGTTTAATGTTGAATGAACATATGAAGCTTCTGCTAAAATTACTGTATCGTTAGGTTTCAAAAGTACTTGAGTTTAAAACACCAAATTGAGGCTGGGCACAGTGGTTGTTCATGCTTGTAATGCCACAGGAGAGACAGAGGTGGGACGATTGCTTGAAGCCAGGAATTTGAGTCTAGTTTGGGCAACCCTGTGAGACCTGGTCTCTTAAAAAAAAAAATTTAGAAAACTGTAAGCTCCTCAAGTACTATAAAACTGAAAAGGAGCTGTATTTCAAATATAATCGAAATTTCCACATTCCCCCCCCCCCCAATAAGATTGAGATCCTCAGGGCAGGGGCAAGATGGAGAAATTAACATTCCCCCCCCCCCCAATAAGATTGAGATCCTCAGGGCAGGGGCAAGATGGAGAAAATAAGGCACTGACTTGCATGTCAGAACCTGTGATCCTCAGGGCAGGGGCAAGATGGAGAAAATAAGGCACTGATTTGCAGGTCAGAACCTGTGATCCTCAGGGCAGGGGCAAGATGGAGAAAATAAGGCACTGATTTGCAGGTCAGAACCTGTTCTTGCCCGAGGCACAGCGGATACTTTTCACTGGAGTTTTATGGAATGAGCCTAGAATTTAATTTTGGAATAATACACAACAGAAGCTATTAACAACAGCCGTTTTGGGTGCAAGTATTACTGGTTACTGCATCGAGAAAAGGGTAAGGAGATAGTGTAGAAGCCCTGCTAACTTTTCATTCTTCAATCCACAGCCTGAGTCTTCCTTTTTACAGCTCAACTGGAAGAGTGGGAAGGGACACCGCCGTGTCCTCGAGTTACCTAACCATTTCTTTGATACCCTTACAGGCACCCACCCAAACAACCAAGGAGTCCTTAACTGCACCCAAGAGCATTCTCCCATTCCTCGAGCCCTGGGGTACAGAAGAGCGCACAGTTCCCACCGCCCAGACTTCGACGCCTCCTGGAGCGCATGCGCCAGAGCCCCCACCCCCGCACCCACACCCGTTTCAGGACCGCGCCCCTCCCCCGCCCTGGCCGGACGTTGAACAGCAGGGTATTGACCAGTCCAGGGACTCGGTGGCCGGTCTTTCCACACCACCCTCTACCTCACCTGAGCTCTCAGTGATGCCTGAGAAGTGAAAAAAGCAGCTGCACCAGAAGAGAGGTCCACTCTGACTTCAGTCTTGCAGTATCTACCGGCGACCGCGAACCGGCTGCCAGTTCCGCCTCCTTATTGGCTGCGAATCTCACGCGATACCACTTTCGCTGCTCGACGAAGGGGCGGCCGGGCGTGCGGCGAGCGCTTCTGCGCGTGCGCTTCTCCCCAGCTGCTCGGAACCCGAGGCTTCCGATCCTTTGCCTCCGTCCGGGTAAACTTCTCGGATGGAAAATCCGCAAAGTATGCTGGAAGTTGTAGTTTCTTAGCTCACAAGCTAGCGTTGTCAGACTTTCTTAGACACTTTGCCTCAGTGCTCATAAAGTTAAATTGGAAATGAAACAGCTACAATCTTGTTCAGAAGTGACGCTCGAACTTCATTTCCTTTTTCAAATTGTTGATTGAACATTTTCCTTTTTTTTATAAAGTTAAGGCAAAACTTATACAACACAGTGAATTTTTGCGTAGTTATAACCCGTAATATCACCGCCACTGTAGGTTCCCTTATGACTTCTCTAAATATAGGAATTTTAAGGACTTCCTCTTGCTTTGAATGTAAAGATTAAAACTCATATAGGAAACCGATGGGTATGCCCTTCTATGTTTTCTTTAGTGACGGTATATATTTCATAATCCATGAACGTTACTGAAAAGTCCCAATTTCATCCTGGATTTATCCTGGGAAACCCAGAGTGCTCTGATTCGTGAATGATGGTCCTTTACAGAATTTGGTGCAGCCGAGAATACAAAGGTATGAGGAAGCTCAAGTCCGGCTTCTGAACCGAATGTCGGTGCCCTCATGGGGAGGGAGTTGACGTGGGGCATTTACAACCTCTTTGTCCACCTCCGGGTTCTAGAACCTGGAAACCCCGTGGTAGTGGGAGCGCGGCGGTCGCTTGTGGGCAGGGGGCGCTAGGGCTCCTGCCTGGCCAGTGGGAGCCACTGGAGACGCTCTACCCGAAGCGCAGCTCTCGATGAGCCGCGCCCTGCGTCCCCACGCCGAGGCGGTGGGGCGATGCGCTTGCGCACTGATCGTTCACACCATATGTGCCCTGTCCCAGTGCGCGGGTCTGTGGAGAGCCGGGTGCGAGCGGCGGCAGCGCGGTGGGAACGGTGCCGAGCGGAGCCCGAAGTCGGCCGGGAGACGGTGGGTCTGTGAGAGACCGAATAGAGGCTCTGGGGCCACGAGCGCCTCTGACAAGCCATGGGGAAGAAACAGAAAAACAAGAGCGAAGACAGGTAGCCACTGGTTGGTTCTGTGCGGCGGCGGCCGCTGCGGCTCATGGGGTGCGCGGGGCGCGGGGTTGGTCTGTGGTCGAGGCTTTCGAGGAGTCTCGCGGGGCGTCAGGCCCGGGCCCAGAATGGGCAGTGCGGATTCAAGACCCCAGGGCCGGGCGGGCGGGCACGAAGGGCCTCAGCGCCTGGCGGGTCCTCGCAGCCGAGGTTCAGTCAGTCACACCCCTACCCCTTCCCCGGCCTGACGAGGGGCAGTGGTTTGGGGACTCCCAGCCGTACGGGGCGGGCTCCAGGCAGCTCCGCTGGGACAGGGGCGGACCGGCCAGCGTGGCCCAGGGAGGTGTTTTTTTTTTTTTTTTTCCGCGCTGTTATTGGCGAGGGTCGGGAAGTTCTTTTAAATGCCTTTTGTACCTGTGAACACTTGGAAGAGAAAGCGGTCTGAATCTGACGTCTGCGCCGTCGGGCGTTTCTACTCGGAGCCGCTCAGGCACGCTGGTAGTTCAGGGAAGCTGTTTGGCAGCTCACTCTCAGTTAATCAAATTGGGATACACTTGTCATTAATTTAAGGGCTTGTTATCTAGACGCCGTACTTTTCGATTTCCTTCTTCCGGCCTTTTGGTCATCTCTGTACTCTCTAGCCCTGCCCTAGGAAGGGAGGAGGAGGAGATGAAACAAACCGACCAAGGTTGATCCTTTCGAGCCGTTTAAAAAGCTTTTCTGGGGAGGGACTGTAAGGGTGTATGTGGATTAACTTAACCCAGAGATCTTTGGAACATTTCTCAGTGTCACATTCGATCGAGTTCTTTTATCCTTTTCATTGAGAGTTTACTTTCCGCGAGCGAACACCATCTGTTACTTTTCTACCTTGGGGCTTAGCTACCCAAGACATTTAGTTTTAAATACTAAGTGGTGAGTAAGATACACTAAATAGACGACAACTAGTGCTTGTTCATTAGTTTGATTCAAAACAGATAATGTGGTCTTGGAGTTAAAATTACTGGTTGTAAATTGAAATTATGGATTGCTTCCTCACCTCGCACTTAAATTAAAAACAAGGATAGTCTTGTATTTCAGTTTTAGGTTTATTGGAGGAAGTTAATTGGTTTAGAGAGTAGAATATATTGTTAATGAAACCAGATGATTACGAAAAAAGAGCAGAATTACGAATGCAGTGGTAGACCCCAAATTTCTGCACTTTTGACAGGATTTTCGATGCTTTGGTTACTTCCTCCCTTGAGAGAGATTTTCAGTCATTACGAAAAATAGAGAAATTAGTATAGTAAAACTTAATGTATCAACATTCATTGTTGGCACACCATCAATTCTGTTTCATCTGCCTGCTAGATAATTTAAAGCAGATTTCAGTAGCCTTCTGTCTGTAGATCCATCAGGTATATCTGAAAGGGTAAATACTTAAAACCCACAGAACGAAAAATAAAACACAGCCACGGGGTTGTCATCAAGTCTAAAAAATACTAACAATGATTTCTTAGATTTTTATCAGATACTCAGTTTTCTAATTTCTCCGATTCTTATTAAAACAAAAAAATTTCAATTTGTTTGGCTCAGGATTACACAAATCTCTTCTCTAAATTAAGAAAAGTAACAACCTAGACATTTCTTTTTCCAGTTTTTACTTTCCATGTTCTTTCACGATGTAAGAAAACCACCGGGAGGGGAGATATTTACTCTTGTCTTAGAGAAAAGCGATTTCTATTAATGATTTGTAGAGATTTTCACGGAAAGTGTAAAGATTGGTTTGGTGGTATAAAAGGAATGCAACTGCCCCCCCCCCCACCAGTCTTTATTTTTGGTTCATGTTGAAGGGTACAAGTAATTTTGAAGCAAATGTTTTCTCATATATCACTATGAAGTTTATATATGCTTTATGAATTCTTTTTCATGAATACCTTTCAAATTATATCTAAGAAATCCTTAGGTGAAGGGGGTGAGTTCCTTTGACTACAACTGTATGACTTTTTTTGTTTTGGTATTCCACACAGGAAATTGAGAGGTGAAGGGAGGGAAGTTCCACTGCTTTGTGAGTTTGCTTTTTCTCTTTGTTTGTTTGTGACGGAGACTTACTCTATTGCTCAGACTAGAGTGCTATGGCATCAGCCTAGGTCACAGAAACCTCAATCTCCTGGACTGGAGCAATCCTCCTGTCTTAGCCTCCTGAGTAGCTGGGAGTACAGGTTCCGGCCACAATTCCTGGCTCATTTTTTTGATTTTTAATTTTTAATAAAGACTGGTCTCTCTCTTGCTCAGGTTGGTCTTAAACTCCGGAGCTCAAAGGATCTGCCTGCCTTGGCCTCCCAGAATGCTAGGATTGATTACAGTCGCTGACCATAGTGGCCTCCCTTTGTATATTTAAATGTTATTTTTCTAAAGGATATTTTGAATATTTATAAAAGAACAAAAGCATAGACTGTAAAGAAAGGAAGGAGAAAATCCTGTTTAAGGGTTTATATTCTTATAATGGAATTTTCTTGTGGAAAATGAGATGTATTTGGTTTTATTCTCTTGCGTGAGATTCCTACTTTAAAAGTTTTACTGTCATTCCACATACCTTCCCCTCCCAGACCCTTCTAAGCCAAGCATGTTTCTGGCTGGCTAGAACTGGGTAGCATGGAGCCTTGGAACCTCTTTTCAGTTCATAGAAAGAGCATAAAATACTTGACTATTCTTAATCTAGCATATGTTTTATTTTATCAGTGACTGAGATATTTTTAAACTTATTTTTATTTATTTATTTTTTTTGAGGCAGTTTCTTTTTTTTTTCTTTTTGCATATACCGGCCACCCCTGGTATATGGGGCTTGCACCCTACTCTTGAGCCACAGGCGCCATCCTGAGACAGTCTTATACTTGTTGCCCTGGGTAGAATGAATGCCCTGGCATTGTATCTCACAGCAACCTCAAACTCTTGGGCTCAAGAGATCCTCTTGCTTCACCTTCCTACTAGCAGGGACTATAAGGTGCCTTTCACAACACCCAGCTAGTTTTTCTATTTTTAGTAGAGATGGGGGTCTTGCTCTTGCTCAGGCTGGTCTTGAACTCTTGAGCTCAGACTATCCACCCACCTGGCCCCCAAGAATGCTAGGATCATAGGCTTGAGCCACAATGCCCAGCCTTTTTGTCAGTATTTTTAGAATTCTAGAACTTTGTTTAAAGAACAAATTCTAGAATTCTGTTCCACTTTGTGTACTTCTAACAAGGAGAGTTTGATAAGGCGTTAAGCAAGTTTTTCTGCCTTTTTTTCAGTTTACTGCGAGATCAAGTATGGGATTCAGTATCTACAGATCAAACCAAATATAGTTAGTATTTCCATTTCTCCCTGTAACCTTCCCAGTTGTCAGTTTATATAATTAGACCTTATGGAATCCACAAAATAGTGGATGCACTCTAAATGATGTGGGCAAGAGAAAAAGGATCTAGAAAGATTTTTGCCATTAGTCTCCAGTTCTTCATTTTGTTGCTTTTAAGGATCTCTTTAAAGGTGATAACTAAGTGTGGTAGTTAGTTTTTTCAAGTTATAAGGAATCTAGTAGGTTATCTTAATTGATGGGATTACTGCAAGCCTTCCCCTGCCAGCTCCCCAAACCCCACACACCCAGCCCCATTTAGAGGGAAGGAAGATAATTATTTCACTTATCCCACAGTCAGTTGTGATAGAGGTAAGGATGTCATTCAGAAGCTAGAAGGTCTTTCAGGATTCACTACACTTCTAGGTGGCTTTAACATCAGATCATTTCTTGTTGTGGCCTCCCTACATTTGTGGTGAACTAGTATAGAGACTCTACTATTCTTTGCTCTTACCTACAGATGACATTCCTGTGATTAATGGCCACTGACCTCCTTTCTTGGGAGTTCTGGCTATCTGTGAGACAGCTGCCTAACCTTTAGGTGATTGCCTTAGTTTCAGGCATTCATCCTAT